TCGAACATAACATGTGCATCCAAATACCTTAGGTTCCACTGGAAAAAGTGGCTTGTTTGGAAAGAGAACACTATAAGGCATATTACCAGCAAGCACAGTAGACGGCATGCGATTAATAAGAAAGCAAGCCGTAGAGACTGCGTCAGCCCAAAACTGTTTAGGAACCTTCATTTGGAATATAAGTGCTCGAGCTGTCTCGAGTAAATGTCTATTCTTTCTCTCAGCAACTCCATTTTGAGCGGGTGTATCAACACAAGAAGATTGATGAAGAATGTCATGTGTCTCATATATAACTGGAATATTTCTGACACATATTCTTTAGCATTGTCATTTCTTAGAATACGTACTGAAGCATTGAATTGAGTTTTGACTTCAGCACAAAGTGCACAAAAGTGAGTAAACACTTCTGAGCAACTCTTCATAAAGTAAATTCAAGTCTTCCGAGAGAAATCATCCACAAAAGTAATAAAGTACTTATGCCCAGGTTTAGAAATGATAGGACATGGTCCCCAAACATCAAAATGAATTAACTCAAAAGCTTACCCAGCCCGCTTATTTACACTTGGACTTAATGATGTGCGATGATGTTTTGCAAATCAACAAGATTCACATTCCAATGAAGAAATATTCTGAAATTGAGGACACGGCTTCTTTAATAGAGGTAGATAAGGATGTCCCAATCGATAATGTGCATCATATGGAGACACGACACTAGAGCAAACAACAGACTGAGACTCCCACTCATCAAGGATGTAAAGATCATTAGATACATGTCTTTACCAATAACCTGATTTGTCTTAAGATCACAAAACAGGCAATGATCGGAAAGAATGATATATAACAATTAAGGTCTCTGGTAAGTTTACTAACAGAGATCAAATTAAAAGCCAATTTTGGTAGACTTAACACAGATGACAGAGAATAGAAGAGGTTGGCCTAACAGTTCCAAATCCAACACTAGTACAAGTAGACCCATCAGCTACAGTGACTGGAGAGGGAGCTTTGTGTGATGGAAAGCTAGAAAAAATATTAGAATTACCAGTCATCTGATTTGTGGCACCTGAATCAATTACCCATTTATTTGAAGAGGTGATAAGACATGTTTCATCTGGCTTAACAAACGCAGTAGCTGAAGTGAATTTCTTCAATGATTCTGGATATTGAGATAATTTTGCAAACTCATGTGTGGGAATCGAAATCATTTTATCAAAAGATGAATTGTCAGTAGCAGCAAAACTCATTCTCTTATTAGCCATTCTACTTTTCAAGTAGCAGCAACACTAATCCCCAACAAATATTTTCCAAACGAAAACAAATTTAGTAATGAAACTTCTTAAAAGAGAGCAAATAGAACCTGGACGTAATAAAAGTCAAATGCAGATCTTTGACCAATGGAACAAAACTTGGTCCTTTCACAATGTCTGGCAGAAACTTCAAGCAGACACAAACTGCACAATAAAGATGGAAGCACCAGATAACAAATTATGGAACTCCATATGCAGGCTGGAAGAAAGAGTGAGGCAATATCCAGATTCTTTTAGCCAGAAACAAGTGTGTTCTTCTCAGATGGTGGTCTGTTCAACAAGCACCAATAGATCTTGACTGAAAATAACAACAGATGTCAGAAAAGGAAGATCGACATAAAGCAAACTCAATCACAAATATACCACTTGCCCTCACGCACTTGCCGGAAAACTGTGAACTAAATGGAGGCACTGGAACGTGAGACTCGCGAGGTTAATTTTAATGAAACAGTCACCAGCACTCTTAACTTCTAGTTAAGCAACATTGCCTCGTGACTATGGAGATGACTCAACTCCGACTAGGCAAGGCTAACGCAACTGAAGCTGCAAGCTTGGCTCTGATACCATGTTGAAACGAAAGTATGGAGTAATTTCAATGTGTATTATCCAAAGAAGACAATGATTTAAATACAGGTAAAGAAAAGACTAACTAAGGTAACTAAATATATAAATCCCTAAGAATCAACTAGAATATTATATACAAGGAAACATATAACTTTATGATTCTCTAACATAATTGAAGCTCTGGATAAGTGGTTAATCTAGATAAATAAGCTATTTGTTTTAGTAAAAATGTCAGAGAGGAGAAAGTTGAGATATCGTTGTTGCTTGGACAACGATAAATAAATGACATGGCTTTGTATTTGTGTTTCCTGGCTGTTGTGGGACGTTTCAAGAAAAGATGCTAGAGTTTATAAAGGAGAGAGTCAAGACAAAATAAAAGGATGGAAGGCTAAATTTTTCAAGTATTGCGGGAAAAGAGATTGTGCTTAAGTTTGTACTAGCAGCGATCCTTACATATGCTTTGTCTTGTTTCCAACTCCGTGATGGACTGTATAAGGAATTTACATCCCTCTTTTCAAATTACTGGTGGGGAGAAATAAAGGAGAAAAGAAATATGCATTTTGAGAACTTGGTAAGAAACAACAAAACTTAAAGATTAGAAATAATATACAAAACATTTTTCTCAAAGAAAAAAAATCAATCCCACTGAATGCACAATGTGTCCTTAAGGAAATTATTCCCCTCAAGTACCCTAGGTTAATGAAATATATCCTCCCAAGATAGAACGATCTTACTCATCGGTGTATCGGTACCTAAAATCACGGTGTCAGTGAACCACTCAACGGCAATAAAGTACACTTAGAATACTAGATTTAGTAGTAGAAGAAGAAGAAGTCTAGAAATTCGTGGTTGAAAAATAAGAGAAAACCCCTCTATTTATAGACAACAAAGGGTAGTGTGAATGGGTGTTTATTATGCCTTATCAGAAAGATCACAACCCTTTGGAAATATCACAACCCTTTGAGAAAATCACAACTCTATTGAAAAGTCACTCCTTTTCAGAAATGTCACAACTCTTCAGAAAAATCACTACTCTTCATAAAAGTCACAACTATTCGGAAAGTCACAACTCCTTATAAAAGTCATAACTCTTCATTTTCCGTTCACACTTTTTAAAACCCAACAAAAATTCACACATGAAAATAACAAGAGTTAAATACGTTTTTTTAAGCTTAAGATGTCGATGCTATATTGTCTATCCCGATTTCTATTATAGGTTATAATGATAGGTTAATATAGCACTATACAACAACTAAAAACTATGAAGCTAAATCAGGTTACTTACTACTTTGGACCTGAAGATATAGAACATATGTTATTCAAATGTCCTCGGTCTTAAAATCTTTGATCTTGGATTCATTTTGATTAGTAAAAGAGTATTCAGGATGGATAGGTGCACGAAGATACAACCTCTTATTAGACTGCCGGGAAAGAACTCCAGTCTGCAAATACATGATGAAATAGAGTAATATTAAAAAACAAAGCAAGTATTACACAGTTAGACCAATTTTCAACAACAAATAAGAAATCAGATCGAGACCTCTTCATTCCCGGAAACTGGCATGATTCCAGAATCAGCTAAAGCTAAAGCTTTATTTTTCATCTCGAAACGATATCAATCAAGTCGTAGGAACACAACTTAAACATTAGTCAATAAATCACACTTCTCTAGCTAGTAGCACCCTGCAACCACCTAAGCCAAAACAAATGGAAAACTACACAAATTGGATCTATTAGGTAAAGTATTTACCCAAATTAGATCCAACCTAATATATCTACGAAAGATCTTTGGCTCAAGTGCATCAAACCCAAGTGAAAGAAAGAGAAAACAATGAAAAAAACATAGCAATCGATAAGAAAAGCAGTGTAAAGTGTGTGCTATTTAATTGTTCCTTTTTTTAGGGAGGGGGGGAGGGGGGGGGGAGAAGGGGGGGGGGGGGGGGGAGAACACTTGTACCCAAAAAGAAAAACTGTTTACAAACGGCTACCCTTTACTTTCATACCCCTATTTTTAACAACTAATTCACGTTTACTGCTTGATACCATCAAAATATATATATACTCTGATGTCCAAACTCAACCTTTCTTAAAGATTCAACATCATCTTCTAGATCATGGATATGGAAGGGAATTTTGTGAGGAACAGATCTTTTGACTAAAGGATTAAGGTGGAGGATTTCTTATGGAAAAATATTAGTGTTTGGATAGATCCTTGGATATCAAATTTAGATTTTGTGATTTCCGATTTAATTGATGAGAATATGCACACATAAAAAATACAGGAGCTACATTCGATTTTTAAAGCTAAAGAAGTCGATGTTGTGTTGTCCATCCCAGTTTCTATTACAGGTTCTAATGATAGATTAATATGACACCATACAATAACATGAAACTATATATGAAGTTTTTGGGACAGTGAAAAATTCGGAAGCTCAAGCGAGTTGTCACTCTTTTCCTAAACGTTTTTGGGACTTCCTATGGAAGTTGGGAGTTAAAAATAATCTTAAATATGTTTTTAAGAAAATCTGTGCTTAGCTCTTTTCTCATCCATAGTAATTTAGCAAAAAGACTAAACAATGTGGATAATACTTGTAGAATTTGTGGTCTTGGACCTAAAGATATAGAACATATGTTATTTAAATGTCTTCAGTCTCAACTTGTGTGAAAGCAATGTCCTATTGGACTTGTTTTTAAATGCTAACTCTTTTCCTGAATAAGTCATGACTGTTGAAGCGATTGCTAGTAGGAAAGCTCTTAAATATGCTATCAGCAAGGGACGGAAGTTAGTGAAGATTTTATCTAATGCTAAAAATGTTGTTGATATGATTCAGAAATGAGTGACTACTTCATGAGAGATAAAGTGATGTATGAAGACATTTAAAAGCTTTCAAGCATGTTCAATCATGTCAAATTTATATATATTCCTAGGTGTTTGAACATAATAGCTGGTAATTTAGCTAGATTTTCGATCTTATTGTTAAAGGAAATCTATTGAGAGATTTGATCATACAGGATGCTAAAGATATGTTTAAACTACGTAATTCGTTGATGCAATAATACAAGGTGTTATGTTTCAAAACATATTATATACAAATATTACTTGTAAGTTCTTAATTTCATCTTATCTAAGCCACACATAAGTCTATAAAACAGTACTGTTTCCCATGGAAACTGCTAATATTACAGGTTCAGTGAGCTATCAAGTCAAAATCTTCTTTTCTTCAATCTGGAGACATCAAATTCTTCTTCATGCCAAAGTTGTTCATTCTGTCTAAAATTACCACCTTCTTTCTCATCGACGTTTCTCATTTGCATAGGTTCTCCTCTCCCCTTGCCATACTTCCTTCATTCGTCAGTACTTTCACCACTGTGAAGTTCAGGACATCTACCATCAGCCCTCTCCTAATGATCTAAATCTCAACTCTCCTAGTGGTTCTAGTAAATACCTGATCAGGTGGACTTCCTCTGCTAGAAAGAGACCTCGGATGCCCGTGCTCCTGTACAGCATTCACATCCCTATTATCATTCAGACGACGAGCACTATATATAAGATGGAGAGTCACGCCTTTGAGGGGATATTGCTTCTTCAGACCTCATTCTATCTTCCCTGTACATAACTGGAGACCTGTGCTGAGATGAATCTTGATGACCATTGAATCCTTCCATCAATCTCCTCCGATGAGAGGATCAAGTACGGGATCTAATAGGAGATTTAGACTGCATTTGAGGGAAACAGCTTCTCTTGATTTCGGTAAACTTTGTATTACCCTGAACGAAATGACGATCAGGTCCATCGTCGTACATAGATTGCTGATGACTATAAACAGCTGGAAAGAATCTATTAAACTTCTCACTATGCTGAAGACCAACGTACTCAGAGCCATCTTCACCAGTGCATCTGCTTGGGCTGATATTCATTTGAATGCCCATCATGGCAGCAGCATCTCTTCCATTGGGGGACAGTCGACGTGCAGGTGGATAACTAAATGAAGGCGAGTCATCATTTAATGGAATCCTACTCCTATTACTAGCAAAGGCAGCACCATCTAGTCTACTTTCATGGTCATTACGTTTATGTCTGAAGCGATAATAAGCTAGACCTCCATAGCTTTCGAAATCACACCCAGAATACCAATCTCTATGTAATCTGTGAAACTGGACCCACCCCCTCCCTCTTCCACGCATGATTCATGAAGTTCCCCCTTGAGATACCAAATGAACGGTCCTGAAACCTATCTCGCACAAATTTAGGACCATAACCATAGATTTCATATCTGGAAAAAGCACAGTAATAAAAAGTCAAGAGTTGAGCAGCATTATAAAAACAAATTACAGACCAAACAACAATAAATAAAAGAAAAATCACCTATTCCTTTGTAGATAGAATTTCTCCTCCTCCATGTAAGAATACCTCTCTCTTCCACATGGTAAACTGAAATGTAACATCGGATGCACGTGGTAAACTGAAATGACTAGAAGATGTCACATTATAAATAGCGCCAATAGGCCTCTGCTCATCACCGCCGGTTGTTTCCTCTTTATCTAATAATGGACTTCGCAGATTACTGTCTTTCTGATGAAGTTTTTCAGCTTTCTCATCACAGGCTTTCACAAAGTCATCATAAGACTCGGTATGAAGTGGCATACTGTAACTTTTTTCTTCATTAGTGAAGCAAAGAGAAGAATGAACATTTTTACTTGAAGATTCATTATTTTTTCCTGAATTCATCCCCTCAGCCATTGGGTCTTGTGCAATTGACTGCATCATTGGTTCTCGGATCTTACCGTCGTCGTATATGTCATCCTCTCTGACACACCCCACACTCTCAGTGTCTACATGTCCTGCAAAAGCCTGATAACCATCAGATTCATAAGCAGAAGCATAACATTCTTCTTCTGTACCAGCTGATATACGTATCTTTTCCCCATCATTTGCTGACCCCTCACCACTTGCAACCAAATTATGTATGTTTTGTGTCTTTTTGTATACCGTGTGATCTTCAATATTCATGCTCACGGAAAAAGATGCCTCCCCTTTATCACTGGATACATTTAGTTCTTTGAGGTCAACGTTAGCATTTTTAGCAGCAGTATCAGCATTTGCCTGATCTAGAGCATCGTTAGCAGCAATATCAGCTTCCCCACCACTCACAGACAATCTAAAAGTGCATCCCTTTTTTGAGGGGCCAAAGGCATTGGCAGTGTAGAAGAAGAAGAAGAACTCTCCTGAACCGGCAAAATCCTTCCAACTGAATGGTGAGCAATCACATCTGATGTCATGGATATTTCCAGGCTAACTTCTTGGATTGGCTCTTCAGTTGACAACTCAATAGACTGCAGATTCTGCCTCACAACCTCAGTTTTTACAATATTAGCCTCAAATGTTCCACCTGGACTAACACTGTTGGTGTCTACTTTAGCCAATGGCTGCAGTACTGAGGAGTCAAACCCTCGAAAAGTACTACCAAGACTAAGACAAAGCACATCCATGGACTTGTGTCGTAGGGCAGGATGTATTGATGAGATGGGAAAATTAAATTCCTGCTCACTAGCTCCAACAACTTACATTCCTTTTTCACCGTTAGAACCAATAACAGAAGCAGAACTAATAGGTGGCTTGCTGTCTAGTGAACTAGCTAGATGTCTTACGTAACAGATCAATTTGACTTGCATCTTCAACAGGAACAACATCTTTGGTCTTGGATTCATTTTCATAAGAACAAGAGCATTCAGGATGGATAGGTGCATGAAGATACAACCTCTTCTTAAAAGGAAGAAAAGATGAAGAGTTACTAGACTGCCCGGAAAGAACTCCAGGCTGCAAACACATGATGAAATAGAGTAATATTAAAAAACAAAGCAAGTATTACACAGTTAGACCAATTTTCAACAACAAATAAGAAATCAGATTGAGACCTCTTCCGTCACGGAAACTGGCATGATTCCAGAATCAGCTAAAGCTAAAGTTTTTTTTTTCATCTCGATACAATATCAATCAAGTCGTAGAACACAACTGAAACCAGATATGCCAAAATATCAGTACAATACAAAAGAAGAGAAACAGAAATTCATACTGATTTCAATCTCAGCTGCTCAATTTAAAAGAAACGAAATTAGCCTCCCTTACCTTACTCGACTTCGACCCTCTACAACTAGTTTGTTTTATTGGACTTCTCAGATCATAACATTCCAGCTCCCATGAATTCATCCTTGACCTCAAGGATCAACAATCAAACCCTGGAAACTTTGCCTTAAGGAACTGGTAGTCCTCCCAAGTTGCATCTTCCAGAGGAAGATTAGACCATTGCACCAGTACCTTCACAACTGCAACATTATTTCTTTTAACCTGCTGTCTCTTTTAAATTGAGCAGCTGAGAAGTCCAATAAAACAAACTAGTTGTAGAGGGTCGAAGTCGAGTAAAGTAAGGGAGGCTAATTTCGTTTCTTTTAAATTGAGCAGCTGAGAGTGAAATCAGTATGAATGTTCTGTTTCTCTTCTTTTGTATTGTACTGATATTTTGGCATATCTGGTTTCAGTTGTGTTCTACGACTTGATTGATATTGTCTCGAGACGAAAAGAAAAGGTTTAGCTTTAGCTGATTCTGGAATCATGCTAGTTTCCGGGAACGAAGAGGTCTCAATCTGATTTCTTATTTGCTATTGAAAATTGATCTAACTGTGTAATACTTGCTTTGTTTTTTAATATTACTCTATTTCATCATGTATTTTGTAGTGAACCTGAATTCTCAACTGAAATACTAAAGTATTATATAATTACTAATAGCCAAATTACAACGGCAACAGTTCAACTATTGAATTACAATGCAAAATACTGAAATAACAAGTAACTAACGATAGAGATAAGAATGGGGATGAGAACATTAGACTCTAGAAAGAGAAGAGAGGATCTGACAATTTGTTTCACAATATGCATAAACCCTTCTTTCCAACTCATTTGCCCTTTTAACCAAATGCTAATTGGGCCGGGATCCCAAATAACACTCCAACATTTTACTCGGCCCAATAATCCCAACTAAATTAGTCTCCACCAATTCTAGTCCATAGGCCCTTACATATCCCACTCGGTTCACAACATATTTGCAGCCTGGAGTTGTTGCCCAGCAGTCTAGTAACTCTTTGCCTGTTCTTCCTATTAAGAAGAGGTGGTACTCTATGATCTATCCTCATGCACCTATCCATCCTGAACGGTCTTTTTCAAATGGAAATGAATCCAAGACAAAAGATGTTGTTCCTGTTGAAGATGCAAGTCAAATTGATCTGTTACGTAAGACATCTAGTTCACTAGGCAGCAAGCCACCTATTAGTTCTGCTTCTGTTATTGGTTCTAATGGTGATAAAGGAAAGCAAGTTGTTGGAGCTATTTAGCAGAAATTTAATTTTCCCATCTCATCAACACATCCTTCCCTACAACACAAGTCTGCAAATGTGCTTCGTCATAGTCTTGGTAGTACTTTACAAGGGTTTGACTCCTCATTACTGAAGTCATTGGCTAAAGTAGACTCCAACAGTGTTGGTCCAAATTCGAGTTTGCTGAAAAGTCTGGCATTGAATAGGAACATGAATTCCCCTACTTGTAAAACTGTTGCTGGAGTTCTTGCACGGCAGTCTAGTAAGTCTTCGTGTTTTCTTCCTATTAAGAAGAGGTTGTCCTCAATGTTCTATCTCCGTGCACCTATCCATCCTGAATGCTCTTTGTCTAATGAAAATGATGCAAGACCAATGCGCCTATCCATCATAATACTAGTTTCGGTCCTTCAAGAAATGTTGGCGATCCAGTGAAACAATCATTATATGGCCAGGAAGCTATAGGTACGACAAAAGTTTCTGTCGCGGAGGAAGCTACTGCCCAAAAAGGGAAGAAAAGTTGTTGGAGCTAGTGAGTAGGAATTTAATTTTCCCATCTCATCAATACATCCTGCCCTACGACACAAGTCTGGGGATGTGCTTTGTCTTAGTCTTGGTAATACTTTACGAGGGTATAACTCATTGGCTAAAGTAGACTCCAACAGTTTTGGTCCAAATTCAAGTTTGCTGAAAAATAGGGCATTGGATAGAAACATGAATTCCCCTACTTGTGAAACTGTTGAGTCATAACTTGTTGTGGAAACCTTGGTACAAGCTAATGCTGGAACGGTTCATCCAGCTGGAACATTTGAGGCTAATGATGTAAAAACTGAGGTTGTGAGGCAGAATCTGCAGTCTATTGAGTTGTCGACTAAGGAATTATTTGAGCAAAAACCAATGAAATGTGAACCAATGCCTTTGGCCCCTCAACAGGGATGCACTTCAGATTTGTCTGTGAGTGGTGGGGACTTGTCTACTCCATCTGAGTACTCTGATATTGCTACTAAAAATGCAAACTTTGACCTCAAAGAACTAAATGTATCCAGTGATAAAGTGGAGGCATCTGTTTCCGCGAGAATCTATGGTTATGGTCCTAAATTTGTGCGAGATAGGTTTCAGGACCGTTCATTTGGTAGCTCAAGGGGGAACTTCATGCATGGAAGAGGGAGGGGCTGGGCCGGTTTCACAGATTACGTAGAGATTGGTATTCTGGGTGTGATTTTGAAAGCTATGGAGGTATAGCTGATTATCACTTTAGACATAATCGTACAGCTGCTGTTTGGGAATCTGCAAATGAACGTAACGACTATGATAGTAGACTAGATGGTGGTGCCTTTGCTAGTAATAGGAGGAGAAATCCATTAAATGACGCCATGCATTCATTTCGGAATCCACCTGCACGTCGACTGTCCCCCAATGGAAGAGAAGATGCTGCCATGATGGGCATTCAAATGCTTCATAGCGCTCCCAGGAATATCAGCCCAAGCAGATGCACTGGTGAAGATGGCTCTGTGTGTGCTGGTCTTCGGCATAGTGAGAAGTTTAATAGAGACTTTCCAGATGATACTAGTAATCCTGTATATAGTCACCAACAGTCTATGCACGATGGACCTGATCGTCATTTCTTTCAGGGTAAAACAAAGTTTACTGCGATGCAGAGAAGTGGTTTCCCTCGAATCTGGTCGAAATCTCCTGTTAGATCCCGTACTTGGTCCCTTCCTCTGAGGAGATTGACGGAAGGATTGAATGGTCATCAAGATTTATCTCAGCACAGGTTTCCTGTTATGTACTGGGAAGATAGAATGAGGTCTTCTTCACGAACTTCTTTTACTGAAGAAGCAATAGCTCCTCAAAGGCATGACTCTCCATCTTATACTGCTCGTCGTCTGAATGATATGAGGAATGTGGATGCTGTACAGGAGCATGGGCATACGACGTCTCTTTCTAGCAGAGGAAGTCCACCTGATCAGGTATTTACTAGAACTAATAGGCCGAGAGTTGAGATTTTAGATCATCAGGAGAGGGCTGATGGTGATGTGTACTTTGATGGGCCAATACACACTGGTAGATTTCCTGAGCTTCACAGTGGTGAAAGTAGTGACGAAAGAAGGAAGTATGGCAAGAGGCAAGGAGGACCTAGGTAAATGAGAAATGTCGAAGAGCAAGAAGATGGTAATCTTAGACCGAATGAACAACTTTGGCATGAAGAAGAATTTGATGGCTCCAGATTGAAGAAAAGAAGATTTTGACTTGATATCTCACTGTTCCTTGCAGACAGAGAAGGGTAACAGCAACATGCTCTTGTATTATAGAACTGAGGCAGATTTCTGAATCCATCTAGATGAATGATAATTGTGGAAGAGAGAACGCGACTTAGACACAGAATATCTCCTAATTGAAAGCACTTTTTGGCTAAATAGCTCATCAAACCTTCAATCTACGGGAAACTATGCATTTATACATGTTTTTGCTTCAATCTTGTTGCTAATAGGCTGTCCAAGGAACGCGCTTCTTAATATTGCTGCCTGTAATTTGTCTTTCTTGAGGTAGAAAAGAACTAGTTTTAAGATGATCTACTGTGCTGGCTTGAAAATAACTTCCTTGGCATGAATGGTAGTAGTTTAAGTTTCTAATGTGCATGCTGGCTTTGTGTATTGTTTTTAAGGAGCAGAGAGACTAGTAATAGTAAAATATTTGTAAAATCTCCAACAAAGCAGTGTCAGATGACACCCTTTATCATAGGGTGCGTCTACTTCAGAAGATAGTAGGTTCAAGTCAACTAGAAAGAATAAAAATGAAAATCCTTAAAGGGCTAAAACAAAAAAAAATTAAAACATATATCTTTTTCCAAGAGTTCAATAATTACTTTATATCTATTCTAATGATATTTATTCATATGCCCTATATTATTAAGCATATTTTTCATAAATTATCTTAATGTGCCTTAATATAAATAAAAGATAAATTAGTAAGAATTGATCATCTAATTTAACTAATACTATATATCCTATCAAAGGATATTATTAATTTACATTTAAAAATATGTCATACTTCTTTCCTTGTCTTTATGCACGAATACAAGTTAACCAAACTACTTTCATATGTTTGTCCACCTTAGATCAAAAATTATGAAAGAGACGACTAGAATCACCTTAGATCGAAAATTATGAAAGAGACTACTAAAATGTTAGTAAGTTGTTGAGTATGGTGTATCTTATCTTGTCATACTCTAGTGATAGTAATACTGTTGTAGTTTCTTTTATTTGATTTATTGGATCTTGTACTAAACTATTATCCTATTTTATTGTAGTTACTATTCCTAAGAATGTTTTGTCATGTTTGTAGTATTTTACTATGACTAATTCCTTTTTCTTGAACCGTTATATTATGCATATTCTAAAGTTGTCTACCGCAAAGTCTTTCTACCTTGGAAGGTAGGGTACTGTCTGCATACACACTATCCTACTTATAAACCTGTCGTATTACCCCGCGCGATTAATGTTGTCAAGTTGTTATTGCTAGCAGTCCATTTAAGTGTTCATCAGTCTTATGTTGAAGTTGTAGAGAACTCAAGAGACGAATTCTAAGCTTCCCCAACTCTCCAATGGTCTCTCTACTCCATTCCAAGTTATGTTAAGGGTGACTAGAAGCTGCATTTTAAGGCCTTATAAGCAATACACAAAGCCACATGCCACATTAGCAACATAAACTACCAGTATTCATGCCAAGCATAGTAGAGCAACTTAAACTAGTTCTTTACTCCTTCTGGAACAACAAAGTACAGGCAGCAATGGTAAGAAGCGCGCTCCTTGAACAGCCTACTAGCAACAAGATTGAAGCAAAAAACATGTATAAATGCGTACTTCCCCATAGATTCAAGGTTAGATCATCTATTAAGTCAAAAACTGTTTTTCAATAAGGAGATACCCCACTGTGTCTAGAGTCGCGTTCTTTCTCTTCTACAATTATCATTCATCTAGATGCTTTCAGAAATCTCTCTTCTTCTATAATACAAGAGCATGTTACTGTTACCCATCTTCTGTAAAACAGTGTTTCCCATGGCAACTGCTAATAGTACAGGTTCAGTGAGCTATCAAGTCAAAATCTTCTTTTCTTCAATCTGGAGACATCAAATTCGTCTTCATGCCAAAGTTGTTTACTCTGTCTAAAATTACCACCATCTTGCTCTTCAGCATTTCTTATTTGCCTATGTTCTCCTTGCCTCTCGCCATACTTCCTTCTTTTGTCAGTACTTTCACCACTGTGAAGCTCAGGAAACCTACCAGTGTGTATCGGCACATCTAAGTACGCATCACCATCAGCCCTCTCCCGATGATCTAAAATCTCAACTCTCCTACTGGTACTAGTAAATACCTGATCAGGTGGACTTCTTCTGTTAGAAAGAGACCTGGAATGCCTGTGCTCCTGTACAGCATCCACATCCCTCATATCATTCAGACGACGAGCAGCATAAGATGGTGAGTCACGCCTTTGAGGAGCTATTGCTTCATTAGTAAAAGAAGTTTGTGGAGAAGACCTCATTTTATCTTCCCTGTACATAACCGGAGACCTGTGCTGAGATGAATCTTGATGACCATTCAATCCTTCCGTCAATCTCCTCCGAGGAGACGACCAAGTACAGGATCTAACAGGAGATTTAGACTGAGTTCGAGGGAAATCTCTTCTCTGTATCGCGGTAAACCTTGTATTACCCTGAACGAAATGAGCATCAGGTCTATCATACATAGATTGCTGGTGACTATAAACAGGATCACTAATATCTGCTGGAAAGTTTCTGTCAAACTTCTCACTATGCCAAGGACCAACATACTCAGAGCCATCTTCACCAGTGCATCTGCTTGGGCTGATATTCCTGGGAGCTCTACGAAGCATTTGAATGCCCATTGCGGCAGCATCTTCTCTTCCATTGGGGGACAGTCGACGTGCAGGTGGATGTCGAAATGAAGGCAATTCATCATTTAATGGCTTCCTCCTCCTATTACTACCAAAGGCAGCACCATCTAGTCTACTATCATAGGCATTACGTTCATTTTCATATTCCCCAACAGCAGCTGTACGTTTATGTCTAAAGCGATAATCAGCTACACCTCCATAGCTTTCAAAATCACGCCCAGAATCCCTATCTCTACGTGATTTGTGAAATCGGTCCGAGCCCCTCCCTCTTCCACGCATGAAGTTCCCCCTTGAGCTATCAAATGAACGGTCTGGAGACCTATCTAGCACAAATTTAGAACCATGACCATAGATTTCATCTCTGGAAAAAGCGCAGTAAGAAACAGTCAAGAGTTGAGCAGCATTATAAAAAAATTACAAATCAAACAGAGCAATAAAAAGAAAAATCACCTATTCCTTCGTAGATGGAATTTCTCCTCCTCCGCATAAGAATACCTCTCTCTTCCACTTCTTGAAGACAACGACCTGCCCATTACAGGTCTGAAATCACTAGAAGATGTCACATTGGATGCACGGGGTAAACTGATGATCCGGCTCTTGCTTCCAAAATTTGACAAATCTTTACTACAGGTAGTATTAACAGGTGTTTCAGCATTTTGCAAAGATGAAAGGGCTGTTGCTGACATATCAGATCTTCCAATATACTCATCATTAGCCTCACAAACATTCCTGACAGCTCCTCTGCTCCCAGCAGATGGTCTGACACATAAGACATCCTTTTCACATCCCTCCTGCACATCTGCTATTCCTGATTGATCAACTGATCCTTGGTAAATAGCTCTAACAGGCCTCTGCTCATCATCTCTGGTTGTTTCATCTTTATCTAATAATGGACCTCCCAGATTAATGCCTTTATGATCATTTTTATTTTTTCCTGAATCCATCCCCTCAGCAATTGGGTCTTCTACAATCAACTGCATCATTGGTTCTCGGACCTCGCCGTCTTCATATTCATCATCCTCTCTGACACACCCCACACTCTCAGTGTCAACATGTCCCGCAAAAGCCTGATGACCATCAGATTCATAATCAGAACCATAACATTCTTCTTCTGTACAAGCTGATATACTTATCTTTTCCCCATCATTTGCCAATCCCTCACCACTTGCAACCAAATTGTGTGTGTCTTGTGTCTTTTTGTATACCGTGTGATCTTCAATATTCATGCTCCCGGAAACAGATGCCTCCACCTTAACACTGCATACATTTAGTTCTTTGAGGTCAAAGTCTGCATTTTGAGCAGCAATATCATCATTTGCCTGATCTAGAGCATTTTTACTCCTATTAGGTTCATTAGTATGAACAGAGTACTCAGATGGAGTGGACAAGTCCCCACCACTCACAGACAAATCTGAACAAGTAGACAATCTAGAAGTGCATCCCTGTTGAGGGGTCAAAGGCATTGGCAGTGTAGAAGAAGAAGAAGAACTCTCCTGAAGCTGCAAAACCCTTCCAACTGATTGGGGCGCAATCACATCTGATGTCATGGATATTTCCTGGAGTGGTTCACATTTCATTGGTTTTTGCTCAAGTAATTCCGGAGGGCCCTTAGTTGATAACTCAATAGACTGCAGATTCTTCCTCACAACCTCAGTTTTTACAACATTAGCCTCGAATGTTCCAGCTGTACGAACCGCAGTTCCAGCATTAGTTTGTACTAAGGCTTCTACAACAGGTTCTGACTTAACAGTTTTACAAGTATGGGGATTCATGTTTCTATCCAATGCTAAATTTTTCAGCAAACTTGAGTTTGGACTAACCCTGCTGGAGTCTACTTTATACAATGACTGCAGTGCTGAGGAATCAAACCCTCGTAAAGTACTACCAAGACTAAGACGAAGCACATCTGCAGACTTGTGTCGTAGGCTAGGATGTATTGATGAAATAGGAAAATTAAATTCCTGCTCACTAGCTCCAACAACTTGCTTCCCATCACCATCAGAACCAATAACAAAAGCAGAACTAATAGGCGGCTTTCTGTCTAGTGAACTAGATGTCTTACCTAACAGATCGATTTGACTTGTATCATGAACAGGAACAACATCACCAGAACCCTCCCATGAATCCATGGGAGTATTCAGATCCCAGTTAGATCTATCAGTGTGTGCAGTATCATCAGTATCCTTGCTATTCAATCCATTCTTGCAACTTCCTTCCTTGGAAATGTCTTTCCGTTTATTCAAGGAAAGAGAAAGCATTGAAGGATTTACAGTTCCACTCATCAGACAACTCTCCTTAGTATCTGGATCAACCAAAGAAGAAACATGAGGTTTCTTTGGGCCTAATGACAGTTCAACGTGCCCTGAATGGGCAGGAAGTTCAAGTTTACTGTGGCTTTCCCCTTGTTTGACAGTGACTTTTTTCTTGACAGAAACTTTTGTTGTACCTATAGCTTCCTGGCCAGCTAATTTTACGGCCAATGCTGGTTTCACTAGATCGTCAACATTTCTTGAAGGACCAGAACTAGTATAAGGATTCGTTTCCGTGGAAACAGATAAAAATGGTAGCATAGTAGGCTGAGAGTCAACTTTCACACCCAAAGGCCTTTCTTCTTTTACCTCTAGAAGATACTTATTGGTAGCATCAGATTTACCTGTACTATCACAAGAATTCAAGGTTGATCTTTGTCCCAAGCCAGAATCTTTGGTCTTGGATTTATTTTCATTAGAAAAAGAACGTTCAGGATGGATAGGTGCACGAGGATAGAGCAAAGAGTACCACCTCTTCTTATAAGGAAGAAGACACGAAGAGTTATTAGACTGCCGGGCAAGAACTCCAGGCTGCAAATACATGATAAAATAGAGTAATATTAAAAAACAAAGCAACAGTTAGACCTATTTTCAGCAGCAAATAAGAAATCAGATTGAGACCTCTTTGTTCCCGGAAACTGGCATAACTCCAGAATCAGCTAAAGCTAAAGCTTTTTTTTTCATCTCGAGACGAAAGCAATCAAGTACAAATCGAGTAGTAAAACACAACTCAAACACTAAATCACACTCCTCTAGTAGCACCCTGCAACCAGATATTTCAAAATATCAATACAACACAAAAGAAGAGAAACAGAACATTCTTACTCGCAAAAATAAAAAACATAAAAGAATCAAAACAAATATTATATCTAACAATGCAATACAATACAAAGGGTAACAACCCTCCAAAAACAACAAATCAAACAAACTAATTTACTATTAACAACTAATTGGTTCCGAATCTCATACCACTTGATCTAAATAACTGGAAAATCAGCACAAATCATCAGAATTCTTCAAAATAGACGGAAAAATCCTACCATTACCAGTAAATTCAACTAGCTTTGGATTGAGGCATAGTTGATTGATTGATTGAACATATATATGTGTTGGTTGATAAAAACTTAAGGCGATTTTCCAGCTCTACACAAAACCCATCAACAAACACGATATAAAGACAGTCAAATAGTCCAAAAACTAATCAATTTCCATAAAACCCCATATCGATAAAACCTCCATAGATAACAACAAAACCAATTTTATCACTCATCAAATCCTATTTCAGGTAAAAACACAAAAACACAAAAATTCTACAATAAAAAACAAACCTTTACCTGAAAAAAAAAATGGAACAATTACATAGCAAACAGATATATATATATATATATATATATATATATATGTTGAAGGAAGAATAG